GTTGATTCTGGTGCAGGGTGATATATAAGGATCTAGCATTAGTTTTCTACAAGTGATTAACCAATTTTGCCAGCACCATTTACTGAAGAGGCTGTCTTTCTTCTATTCTATTTTTTTAGCTCCCTTATCGAAGATTAGATGGCTATAGGTCTGTAGGTTCATTTCTGGGTTTTCAATTCTATTCCATTGTTCAATAGGTCTGTTCTTGATTACTGTTTTAGCTGTTTTGATTACTATGGCTTTGTAGTAGAGTTTGACATTTGGTATTGATATTCCTCCAGCACTGTTCTTTCTGTTAAGGATCATTTTTGCTATTCGGGGTCTTTTATTGTTTCATATGAATTTTTGGATTGCCTCTTCTATTATCTTGAATAATGAGATTGGAATATTGATAGGTATCGCATTGAATTTGCAGATATCCTTGGGAAGTATTGCCATTTTCACGATGTTGATCCTTCCAATCCAGGAGCATGGGAGTTTTTGCCGCTTTCTAAATTCTGTTTTGATTTTCTTTGTCAGGTTTTTAAAGTTTTCATCATAGAGGTCCTTCACTTTTTTGGTTAAATTAATTCCTAGGTATTTTATTTTTTGTGGGGCTATTACGAATGGAGGTGCTTTCCTAATTTCAGCCACACTTTTCTCATTGTTGTCATACAGAAAAGCCATTGATTTTTGAGGGTTCATTTTATATCCTGCTACTTTGCCAAAGTTTGAATCAGCTTGAGTAATTTGGGAGTGGAGTATGTGGGATTCTTTAAATATAAGATCATGTCATCTGCAAAGAGGGAGAGTTTTACTTCTCCTTTCCCTATTTGAATCCCCTTATTTTTTCATCTTGTCTTATTGCTGTTGCTAGGCATTCTAATATTACATTGAAGAGTAGTGGAGAAAGTGGACATCCTTGTCTCATTCCTGAGTTGAGGAAATGGCTTTGGTTTTTTACCATTAAGTATAATGCTGGCTGTAGGTTTGTTATAAACAGCCTTTATTTTATTGAGGAATGTTCCATGGATTCCTAATTTTTCCAGAACCTTCATCATTAATGGGTGTTGGATCTTGTCAAATGCTTTTTCTGCATCTATTGAGATACCCATGTGGTGCTTATCCTTGCTCTTGTTGATGTGATGAATTATTATTTTTTCCTTTTTGGGGGGGGGGGTCTGGTTGTGGGACCTGAACTCTGGGCCTGGGCACTGTCCCTCAGCTCTTCAGCTCAAGGCTAGCGCTCTACCACTTGAGCCACAGCGCCACTTCCAGCTTTTTTCTTTTTGCTTATGTGGTGCTGAGGAATCGAACCCAGGGCCTCATGCCTGCAAGGCAAGTGCTCTACGACTGAGCCAACTTCCCAGTCCCAATGTGATGAATTATATTAATTGATTTGCCTATATTTAACCAGCTTTGCATCCCTGAAATGAATCCTATTTGATCGTGGTATATGATTTTTTGAAAGTGCATTGATCTTAATGCTGACAGATGATACAGAAGACATGAGACATGAGAGACCTGACTGAGTGCAGCGGCCACATCTGCATCAGCCTCTCTTGACTTGGGAGGACATGACAGGAAACTCATCCCTGGGGAACACCTGACCTTCTGGCTCACAAGAGTCCAGGAATGTGCCCTGGGTGTACCAGGACCAACTCACTGGAATAACAAGAGCCCAAAGTAGGAAGCATGATAAAGACTGCCTTCCCAGGAATGGAAATCTCCTGTCCCCAAGACAGATCATTTCATTTTGAAATAGCTTTAGTTGCTAGAAAGCTCAATGATACTCAAACCTTACTCTCATTTAAAATTAATTTTTCCAGTAAAATTTTCTCTAAGCCTTCTGAATTTTTAATTCTTAAAGAGATGTTGCATTTTATTTTTATTGAGTACAATATTTCTGCCCCAGTGAAGTTTTCAAAGGCCAACTTAGCCAATGAGTACAGGTCGGCCTAAAATTAGCAGCTTCCGCTGAAGGTTCAGGAAATGAAAGTTTCTTTCTCCAAGATTGGATTCAGAAATAAATTTCTGTGGGTAAGGTTAGTGTTTTTATGCCACTTAATTGTATAAAGTATGCCTCTCACAAACTTTAACATGACTTCATAGTGAAAAACAGAGGAGAGAGTAAATGAACTACATCCAATTCATAAAAATTGGGAGAAGTTGTTCACAGGATTCCATCATCTTAGCTTTCTTGCTAGCTCCTTCCATCCTTCCTCTCCTATTTATACCAGGCAAGCAAGCAGCTGGCTTTTACCTCTTGCCTTTTATGTCTAAACTTCCTCATCAGATTAACTCATACTGGTGTTTAAGGTACTCTAGAATCTGGCTCTTTGGGGTGCCAGGCCTGGCCTTCCTCCATGTCTCCCAAGGTTTGTTCCACCACATTTGCCCACATTTGCAAGGGTTTAGTTTACTTACTGTGCAGATTCTGACAGCTCCTAAGAGTGGAAGCCTGATAGAAAAGTCTGTGCTGTCCTGTACGTGAACGTGGGTCCACATGGCTCTTTGGAGTGTTCTGGGCCAGTTTCCATGTCTTACTTTCAGCATCTTTCAATGGGCTGTGTTTGGACCCTGGCATTGTCTTGTGTCCTGTTTGTGCTTGCACTGTGTTTATTTGATCAGCACCCTGTGGCTGCCATTTCATTATGAACTACAATCTCTACGCTGTCCCAGCTAGGTTAGGCCTATCACAACTTGCTTGAAAAGGTGCATATATACTATGTAAACTTGCAGTGTTCTTAAATAGTATGTAAAGAAATCCCTAAGTTTAGCAATGCTGGCTGGCATACTGTTTAGTATGTCCTGTGCTTTTATTAGACTTTACATACTGTTAGCTTAGTGGGTTCAGTTTGTATTCAGGAAGGATAGGAAATGGTAGGTGGCTGGCTCTGCCTTGTTCTATGGGTTGCCTGCTGATATTTATATTTGGTTTTCCCACTCAGCTCCTCTTCCTGGATCTTGTGCCCAGGTTCCCTAGAGGCATCCCTCCCCAAGCCTTGGGCCTGTCAGGCAGGTCATTACCTACTTGACTCTCAAAGGTAACTCAAGGGTCCTTCTTATTAAAGGAGTTTTGTGGGGCTGGGAAGGTGGCTCAGTGGTAGAGTGTTTACCTTGCATGCATGAGGCCTTGGGTTTTATTCCACAGCACCACATAAACAAAAAAAGCTGGAAGTGGCACTGTGGCTCAAGTGGTAGAGTTGAAGAGCTGAGGCACAGCGCCCAGGCCCAGAGTTCAAGCTCCATGACCAACCAATAAAAAAGGAAAGAAAGAAAAGAGTTTTGCTGCAAGTCACTCCTGGAAAACCCCTAAGTGTGCTTTGTTTATTGTTATTTTTACAAAGAAGTAGAATCATCATACTTAGAAACTTTTTACAGTTCTGGATCCTTTCCTCAATATGTGCTTTGAAAATATAAGTAGGGTGGAGGTTTATCAAGTAAAGTTGCTATCTAGAAGGTAATTTTCTGGGTGGGAAGTGTATGCACATAGAAATTTGACAAAAAAATGAACAAATCACCTTCCAAAAGTTTGTACCACATCTACAGCTACCTGTGGCAGGTGAAGGTTAGCCCCACCCCTCCCGGACTTGCACAGGCTTTGGCGATGTTTACTATGCTTTCAGATAGGTGGGAAAAACTGATTTGCAGTTCCCCTTTAGGGTGGGATTGTCATCTTTTGGGGATTTTCCTGTGTCCTCTTCTGAGGCTGGACTTGAGTCCTTTTGTCCTTTGAAGCTGCTAACGTTGGTGACACTGGCAGACTCATACCCATCATTGAAAAGCCCTTAGGTCCGTCTGGAGCCCTACCTCAGGATGAGTGGCACCAGATTCTGCAGGAGAAGTCGGGGGGGGGGGGCACTGTGCATCCGGTCTAGATCATCCACGACAGGCTGGCAAAGCCTAGAAAAATCTCAGAAGAGGTCCCGCAAACATCAAGAGCCCCATTGCCACGTGGGGCCCTGCAGGTTTATCCAGCTGTGACCCTCCTCCTCTACACAGAGATGGATATCCACAGACCTCGCTGCTCTCCCTCGATGGCGCTTCACGTCCATCGCCTGCCATCCAGGCGCGGAAGCCGCCAGTGACCCGACTCCTCCCTCTGGCAGTGGCTGCGCCCGTCTGATCGCCTCAGGGTCCCGACTACACAGACCCTTGGGAGTCAGCGTTGATGCCGCCTACTTGTGGCTCCAGGGGCCAGCACTGCCCCATGACCCCGAAGGGCCCGACCACAGGCCGCGCCCCTCAGGCCGGGCAGGGCGAGGGCAGCTGGGGAACGTGGGCAGAAAAATCTCTGATTGGAGGGTTCCCGGGTGTCTGGGGGCGGGGAATCAGGGCCACGTGCGGGGTCCGGTGCCTGGACTGGGAGGGGCTGGAGGTGCTGGGAGGACAGACCGGGTCAAGAGAAGAAACAGCGTTCCGCCTAGGGTGGTCTGGCCAAACCTGAGCTTCGCAGGGGGAGAGGGATTGTGGGCCAGGCCGAGGAAGCTGGGCCGGGCGGGAGGGGCGGAGCAAGCTCAGTAGGAGGGTCAGGTTGAGCGGGTCAAGGGGCGGAACCAGGAGGGAAGGGGTATAGGATGGGGCGGGTCCAGTCGGAAGGGCGGGGTTATGGAAATGCAAGCTCAGGGTGTGGGTGGGATTGTGGCCGGGGCGTGATGGGTAGGGGCGGGGCCAGACCGGAGGGCGGAGTTGTGGAGCCCCAAACTCAGGGCAGAGTGGGGCGAGTGGAGGGCGGGGCCAGGAGGGAGGGCGGAGGAGAGCATAAGGAGCGGCAAGCTCTGGGAGGGCGGGGTTAAGGGAGGGGCGGGGACAGGGAGGAGTTATGGAGCACCAAGCTCCGGGGAGGGCCGGGCGAGTGGAGGGCGGGGCCGAGCGGAGGACAGGATAAGGAGCGGCAAGCTGGGGAGGGCGGGGCCATGGAGAGGGCGTGGCGAGCGGAGGGCGGGGCCAGGCGAGGACGGGGTTATGGAGGAGCGGGCCTCCGTGCCCGCCCCGCTCGCTTCGCCGCCCCTGGGGAGTCCCGTGGGCCGGCCTCGCTGGCCGGCGTCCGTCGGAGGTCAGCGGCTGGCGTGGGCCGGAGGACGCGCGGTCCCCTGGGCCCGCCGCCATGTGGAAGCTGAGCCGGAGCCGGGTGCTTCTGGACGAGCCCCCGGAGGAGGAGGACGGCGCGCGCGGGCCGCCGCCACCCGCGACCGCCGGCGCCCCGGTGCAGGTGAGGGAGCGGGCCGCGGGCGCGCAGGTGAGGCCGGGCGCCGCGGGGGCCGGCGCGGAGTCGGAACCCTGACCCGCGGGCGCCGGCCCCGGGCCTGCGGGCGCCTCCGGGGGACAGGACCGCCAAGCCCTGCACCGCGGGGCCGGGCGCGGCGGCGGCGGCGGCGGCGCGAGCCCGCGAGGCCTGGCGAGGTCCGGTCCTTGCGCGGTTGGCCGGGAGCGGGGGGGGGGAGGGGAGAAGGGAGACGTCTGGAGCGTCCATTAGCAAGAGCCCCCGCGGACCCGGCGGACCCCCGCGGACCCGGCGGACCCGGGGGACCCCCGCGGACCCGGCGGACCCCCGCGGACCCGGCGGACCTCCGCGGACCCGGGGGACCCCGCGGACCCGGCGGACCTCCGCGGACCCGGGGGACCCCCGCGGACCCGGCGGACCCGGCGGACCCCCGCGGACCCCCGCGGACCCGGGGGACCCCCGCGGACCTCCGCGGACCCGGCGGACCCCCGCGGACCCGGCGTACCTCCGCGGACCCGGCGGACCCCCGCGGACCTCCGCGGACCCGGCGTACCTCCGCGGACCCGGGGGACCCCCGCGGACCCGCGGACCCGGCGCCCTCCCCGCCCTCCCGGAGCCGGGCGTCCTCGCGTGCGCACTGGACCCGGGTCCGAAGCCAGCCTTCTTGTCTTGTTTGAGAAACCGTCCGACCGCCAGGACCACCTCGGTCTGTCTGTCTGTCGGCCTGTCTGTCTGTTGGTCTGACGGTCAGAAGACCCCCCCCCCCCCCCCCCAGCGCTCGGCTGCTCTGCGGGGCTGCAGCCCGCTGCCCTCGCATGCGGTGCGCCTCCCGCAGCCCGCGGCCTGGGCGGGGAGATCCGCGGAGGAGCGCGCCGGCCGCTCGGGGCCAGCCGTGCCGTCGCCCGGGCCCCGCGTGGGGTAGGTTCCGCAGAGCAGCTCCCTTCCCCTTTAGTTTTCTTTTTCTTTTTCCTTCAGTTTTTGCATGGTGAAAACACCATACCGAGGGTGACGATCACAGGGGCAAGGTCATGAGCGCATCCCTTATTTATCAAGCACGGTGCCCCCCCCCCCACGCCAAAGCTGTAAAGTTGGTTTTCGACAGAGCGACTTGCACATCTCGTAGCTGCAATGGGTCCACCAGTATCCCTACTTAAACGATTTGTTTTTTCCCTTCCCCTCCACAAATTATACCAACATCAAATACAGTGAAAGCAGGAGTGAATGGATCAAGAAAATGTGGTATATATACACAATGGAATCTGTGCCTCCATCAGAAAGAATGACATCGCCCCATTTGTTAGGAAATGGAAATTGGAAACAAGTGAAGTAAGCCAGGCCCAAAGAAACACAGGTCCCATGGTTGCCCTTATTTGCAATAACCAGTATATGTCTGAGTCAAGCAGAAAAGGTCAGATAAGTTGATGTGAGGCAAAATGAACCCCAAGATAAGGACTCAAACGTTTTTCTTCCTTGTGATTGTTTCTAACAGATTTGTAAGATGGTTTCTTTGTTGCTTTGTATGTCCCTCGCTTTAGTTTTCACTCCAGCACGTCTGGCATAGCTAGCCGCATGACTCTGCTTCAGGCATTGGTGACACACTTTGGTTTACCCATGTGTATGTGCTGATCTTGGGTCTTAAACCCAGGGCCTGGGACATGTTCTTGAGCCTTTTTGCTCAAGCCTAGTGCTCTTGAGCCACAGCTCCACTTCTAGTTTTTTGAAGGGTACTTGGAGATAATCTCATGGACTTTCCTACCCAGGTTGGCTTTGAGCCATGGTCCTCAGATCTCAGCCTCCTGGAGTAGCTAGGATTACAGGCCCGAGCCACCTGCACCCAGATAAAAAAAAATTAACAGACTATTTTTTAAGGTATATAGATTTAGATAACAAGCAGATAAAAGCAGCTGCCATACACTCCTGGCTTCCTCTAGTCTCCACACTTAACGTCTTCCAGAACAGCACACTTATTATAAATGGATGAACCTACATAGCCATGTGTTTATACCCTAAGAATCCACATTAGTCTTCACTCTTGGTGGTGGTGTACTCTCTGTGGGTTTGGACAGCTGGGTAGTGGCACTTATCCACCATTCGGTATTACACCGGCAGTTACACTGCCCTACCCCTCTGCCCACTCACCCCTCACTTTTCTTATTCCTGTCTTCACAGTCTAGTGTTTGCAAAACTGTAGGGCTCAAGGTCATAGTTTACCATACATGTAAGTTTAAGGTCATTGCCAACTCACAGAAATTGAAGTTGATTATCCTAAGCAGTTAAGTGTAGTTACTACCTGAACTTCCATTTGACAGATCATTTAGATTAGTTTCTTTCAACCAGTATTATAGATGTTCTTCATGTCTTTTTATGACTCAGTAGCTTATTTGTTGTTAATGATAAATAATACTTCTTTTTCTGGATGGACCACTCTTCATCGGTTCACTTCTGAAGGACATCTCAGTTGTGTCTAAGTGTTGATAATTATAATTGAATCTGCTATAAACATTCAGTGTGGGTTTCATTTGGGTAAATAGCAAGGATGTGATTACTAAATCATACGGTGAGAATGTGTTGTTTTGTAAGAAACTGTCAGACTGTTCTTCATGGTACTCAGTATTTTTCATTCCTATTGAGAATTATTGAGGGTTACTATTATTCCATGTCTTCCTTGAGTTTAGTGTTGCACTGTCTGTATTTTGGCTATTTTGATAGATATGTGCTGCTGCCTTTTTGTTTTAACTGCCTTTTCATGAGATGCGTGCCATCAGTATGTCTTCTTTGGTGAGGTATCTTTTAATGTCTGCCCCATTTTTCAGTATTGTTGTATTGCTGTGTTTCAAGAGTTCTTTGTATAGTAATTGGATGATCCCTGATCAGAAGTGTCTCCTCAAGTATTTTCTACAAGCCTGTGGCTTGTCTTCTAATTCTCTGCATGGTATTGTTGACAGAGCAGAAGTTCTTCATACAAAGATGCCCAGCTTACCCATTAATTACTTTTAGACATCATGACTTTGGTTTTATTATATTTAAAATTCCACTGCCATACCTATGGGCTTCTAGGTTTTCTCTTGTATGTTCTTCTAGTAGAGATTTTCACCTTTTTTTGTTACTTTACTAAGAATTTCTGTAGGATAATGTGTTCAAACATGTTGCTGTAAAAATAGTGGGCTGGAAACACCACAAGGTGCTTGGAGATGGAGGCAGTAGAACTATAAGTTCAAGGCCAGCCTGGGCTACAGTGAGATTCTGTCTTAAGGCCAAGAAAAATTAAAAAGGAAAGAAAAGAAAAAATTCATAAGGAGCAGTAATCTTTATCCCAAAATTTGCTTCTGTTAGAACTAATTTTAAAATTCATGACGTCTGCTACAGAATTTCATTTTAAAGTTGAGAAAGGTAGAAATCAGTATATGATTGAATGAGTCTGCTAAATTTTCTGCCATACTAGAAAGAAGGTCTCAAATCTGTTTTGATCATTTTGTTCTCCTTACTTCTGGAAACAGAATCAGCTCAGTGTCCTGCTGAGTCTAGAGAATGTACAGTGCACATCATATCCTTCCTGCCCTTCTTTACAACTAGTCTGTCTATGATCTGCTGTAAAATTTTTTATTTTAAAAAAGTAGTTTAATATTAGGTTTTAATAAGGTTGAAACATGAGTTGTTCCAGAACTAAGGGACACTTAGCTGTTTCCAAAATAGTTTTCACGCAATAAGAGGTAAATCTTTTCTTTCTTTTTTTTTTGGGGGGGGGGTCCAATCGTGGGGCCTGAACTCTGGGCCTGGGTGCTGTCCCTCAGCTCTTGAGCTCAAGGCTAGCGCTCTACCACTTGAGCCACAATGCCACTTCCGGCTTTTTTCTTTTTGCTTATGTGGTGCTGAGGAGTTGAATCCAGGGCCTCAGGCATGCAAGGCAAGTGCTCTACCACTGAGCCACCTTCCCAAGAGGTAAATCTCTTTATGCTTCGTTTTGACTCAGTTGCCCTTTTGGGTACAAATGTACATCTATTTTATATTAAAATATAACAAGTTTATCTTAATGCCAGTACTGGGCTTGAACTCGGGGCCTTACACTCTCACTTGGCTTTTTCTGCTCAAGGTTGGTGCTGTACCACTTGAGCCACATCTCAACTTCTAGTCTTTTGCTAATTAACTGAAGGTAAGAGTCCTTGGATTTGTCTGCCCAGGCTGGGGCAGCCTTTGAAAGTAGATCCTCAGATCTCAGCCTCCAAAGTGGATCACAGGTGTGAGCCACCAGGGCCAGACTGATAGTGAGGTTTATAGGGAGAACAATTGTTGCAATCATTTAACAAGAAGAGACAGGTTTTTTAAATTATTTTTTTTCTTCTGTATTTTTTTTTATTGTGAAAATACACTACTGAGGGGTTATAATTACATGGGCAAGATAATGAGTACATTTCTTATCAAGCATTGTTACCTCCTCCTCCTTTGTTTCCCCTTCCCATCCCTTCCCATCTTCCCCTCCCCATTCCCCCACCCCAACCCCCAGACAAAGCTGCAAAGTTCATTTTTCGACATAACGATTTGTTTTTGCCCTTCCTCTCCACAAGTTATACCAATATCAAATACAGTGAAAGCAGAGGTTATGCTGTGGGGGAGGGACATACAAAGCAACAAAGAAATCATCCTATAAATATGTTAGAAACAATCGCACGAAAGCAAAAACATTTGAATACTTCTCTTGAAGTTCCTTTCACCTAACATCAACTTATCTGACCTTTTCTGCTTGTCTCAGACATATACTAGTTATTGCAAATAAGGGAAACCATGGGACCTATGTTTCTTTGGGCCTAGCTTACTTCACTTAATATAATTTTTTCCAAGTCTTTTCATTTCCTAACAAAGGGGACATTGTCATTCTTTCTGATGGAGGCATAGAATTCCATTGTGTATATATACCACATTTTTTTGATCCATTCATCTACTGATGGGCATCTGGGTTGGTTCCATATCTTAGCTATGGTAAATAATGCTGC